TTTAAAAGTCCCCAAATTAAAAATTCCTTTCTCTTTTTTCCATTACTTTTCTTAGAACTCCTCAGTTTCAAAGTAAAATTCAATAGTACTTTTAATTTCTGTGTATTAAAGTACTTTTGTTACCTATTAAGTATGATTGATCTGTTTTAATAATGAAATAAGAAATGTTGACACACTCCTGGCAAAGAAAAAGTGTCAAAAAATAATTCCTGGATTACTGGATATCCCTTGGAAAATTTCAGCCACACGTAAAAGGAGAGAAAAAAGAAGAGTGAGGCTTGGTTTGAAAAAGGGACCATCAAGAATTAGGAGGAGAATAAAAGCTAATAATCTGGCTGACAAACAAATGTTTGAGTTTAAACTTTGTAACTGTTCATTTTTCCTAGAACTGTACTAAGGGTCAGATACAGATTAATATAAGATGGGATTCATTAAAAAATCATATCTATTTAATATATGGAATAATAAAAAAAGACAAGTCACATCTTTACCTCTCCAACAGAGTAAATAATCTTCACACACTCCTTTTTTCTGAGGCTGACAGAAAGTCACCATATGGGTCATAATGGAAACAATATCTTCCACCTCTTTGTACCTGAGCAAATGACCTCCTTTCAAGATGAATTTTCCAAAAGCAGGTAATTGAATTACTTGAGTGCTGATCCACTTCAAAGGTTGTTCTTTATAGGAAGTATAATCAGATTCTGATGCTTTGATCAAGGGAATCTATGAACCTGTTACTCGATCACAAACTCTACTATTTGCCATGAAGAGATAACTAATCAATTACAGAAATACATCTGCTCTGAGTAACATTATTGATGACTTGACAGAAGGAATGCATAATTCAAAGAGTAAAACCCTTGGGAAAGCTGGCAGTGACTGTGGACCAAGAAATTCAAGTGAGACAGAGGGTGGCCAGCCTAGGGGAAAGTTGCTAACGCTTAAATGGAGTATCTCCTCTGGCTGCATTTGAAATGGAAGACAGCAGTGAAAGGAAGGCTCTGCTGCTCAGAGCTGGTTAGAAATATGGGCTGTCAAATCCTGGCACCTTCCTCTTCCCTGGGCAAGCCTGCTCAGCTTCACAGCAGAACCTGATTTTTCCAGCCATGTCACGCTAAGGAAGTATGGCTCTCTTCCAGAGAAGTCTATCCAAGGGCGGGGTTCATTCACCTCTCTTGTATGTGACACAAAAACCTGTGTGAGAAATTACAACCTTTCCATATTTTTAAAAATTCAATATACAATTAGTTCACAACTAATTGTACTTGACTGTAGTCAAAGCAAAATTCAACTGTAATAATTACACCCATGTGCTAAACTCTCACTATTGTACTATGTGAGCATCTCAGAGCATCTTTACAATTCAGGCATACAGGAAATAAGTGTCATTAACTAAATCTGAGTAATTAAAAACATTCTTGTTGAGCAGAGTGCCTTACACCTCTTGACTGAGTTACACCCAGACCCACAGGTGCCCTCCTTCTGTTCATTAGCAGTGGGTTTCACCACAAAAAACATACATCTTTTCAAGCACAAAATCCTCCACCACCTCCACCTGAAAGTGCCTTTCAAATTGTAAAATTAACTTGAGGCTAACATAGGAAAGAATCTGAGGGGAGTGTCTGGAGAGCTTCTGAGTACCAAAACAAAGCACTGCAAACAAAGTCATCTTTGCAATTTTATCTACCTTAAGTAATTCAAAGATCAAAATATTTATCAGTCACAATTTTAATTCTTTCCTGTATCAATTTAAAATGAAAGCAGTTTGGTTTCTTTTTTTTAATTCTTCTTCACTAAACTTGAAGTTGAATTTGGTCAGATTTTAAGGTTATATTTCATTGCTTTGCTTTTGCTCAGTGCTCCAATGGCCAACTTTATCAACTTTATTCACTGCAAGCAGGATAAGAGCTGACTGGGAAGAGATGAAGGTAGCCCTCAGAAAACAATCTCCTTCCATTTTGGCCTTGAATTGTAAGCATTTGCAGAAGACAGAAGAATAAAGTGTGTGAGCTCTGGACAAAATTTTGCTGAATCACTCAGGTGAGCAGCTCAGCCAAATCTGAGAACCTCCTGCTGCAAAATGCTGCAGATCTTCAGTGGAGGGTACCCCTCACAAAGTGGGGTTACAGCAGCTGGAATTCAGTGGAAATAATAACTATCCACAGGCTTTGGAAATCCAGGGATGCATGTGCACCTCTTATTCTTTCTCACATTTTGTATCTATGTGAGGCTGTTTATCTTATTACCTTTTATTTCAAAGATGAAGGAAAGATGTAGTCCATGCACAGAATTAACAAAATTAAGAAAAGAGGGGGAAGCACAAATTATTTGAATTCAGTTTTTATGCAGCATGCCAAAATAGGGTAAAGATAAAAGTGATAGCAGTGCACTGAATGAATTGTAAGGTTTGTTTTTATCTTTCTTATTGAACCGATTCCTGCAGTTTACTTTTTTGAGCATCATAAAGCATCTTTGGATTAACCAACAAAGAAATTCCTTTTGCACACAGCATGTGGTCAAATGAAGATTCTCTTCAAAGTGACATGGAATCAGAAATATTGGCTATATAACAGGTATTGTCTTTTTCTTTACCTCTGTTTTTCATTGTCAGTAGTCTCCATAACTGAAGAGACACACTCACAAAGAAGTAAGAAATGTTCAAAGTGGGCAACAGATGCTTTATTAGAAGGCAAACCTTTCTCTTTTCTCTATTCATTTTATCCTAACACCAGCAGGTTTCCAAGGGGGAGAAAAAGCAGCTTTGAACTTTTTTTCCTTCCAACTGCTGTATTTTTCAAAAAAGGTCCTAATTTCAAATGCTTTAGTGAAGTCTGACTTAGTGCTCTTGTGCTACAAAACATTTAATGCTCTAATAGTAGAATCACTGTGAGTTCCCCTTTATATTTCCATTTTTTTCTGCTTATTAATTGGACAGACAAGTCCCAGTTATTGGTACTTCAGAATTCTGCTCCTCCAGGACCCAAACAATGCTCATCTTGGGTGGTAGGGAACTATGGGGACCTTTGACCCAAATAGCCTGGGAACAGTTCATGGATTCATTCCAGTGTCCTGTATGAAAACTGTTTTTACCTCCACATGCATACAAAACTTGTAATGTTATCACCTTAAAAGGACTCACTGCACTAGTGAGGAGTCAGGCCAGCCTCTTAATTGAAGTCAGTTGGAGTTTTGTTCAGTCACTGAAAACCAAAATGAACCCAAAGGAAAGCAGCAGCAGACCCAAAGAGGGGCAAACCAGGCTCGTGGCACAGAAACCCATCTGCATCCTGCCTCAGAGGGCAGCATCACATGGCCAGCAAGGCAGCATCCCTGGAGCCCTGCCTCACAAACATTTCACCACACTGGGCTCAAACTTGGCGTTGGTCACTGCAGCTCTACCATGAAAAAATAGCAGGACTATCGCATTCTTATATTCCATGTCAATGAACAGGCATGAACAGGCATAAATAGGGCTTAATGCCTATTTATGGGGCTGTGTAGGAGCCGTGGGGACTGGGTATATATCAGCATTGTGTGCATTCTCTCATGGCAGCACATTAGCTGCCATTCCACACAAGAGTTTTTTGGACCAGCAAGAGTGTCAAAGTAACAGTTGACCCACCAGGACTCAGGGACATGAAAAGAGAGGAGATGTTACTAAAAGACTAAGCAGTTAGCAGGGAGAGGTACTGGAGTGAAATTTTGTGTAACACACCACATTTGATGTCACTCTAAAGCTGCATTGTAAATGAACATTTATTTAATTAATACTCAGTCAAATTATATATTCTGTTCAATTGCTGATCAACAACTCAGCCTCAGATATTGTTCTCCATCTGAACAGCTTAATATGTTCAAGAACATAAAAACAGGATGTTGAGCTCTGGTTCTAAGATTAGTGAACTCTACAGGGAACCAGAAGCAATGAGAAACCAGTCTGAGAAACCAGTGAGCTGCTTATCTTCCAGGGGAATTCAGGGATTCTGAAGTCTGGCTGCCATTGTTTTTTAGCTCCTAGACTGTACCTCAAAGAGTAATGAGCTGTTCCAATTCTCTTGGGCATCTCTCCTTTTCATCCCTTCTTTTCTTTTTTCAGAGAAATGGACAAAGCAACCCTTGGTGATTTTTGTAATGTGTTTTAGGTAAGAACACAGTTAGAGGCCAGCCTTTCCTCCATCATACTTCACATTCCCTCACTTTCCAAAAGCACTGTCAGAAGTTTTAATTACAAACTACAGTTTCAACTACCAACTTCTGCTTGCAGAAGAATTAACTAGCAGTGGTAACTTTGAGAAATCTACACAACTGTTACATGCAGCAAATCTGTGATTCTTTGGTAAAATCAAAGTCACCTGAAGGAGGTGCATGAAAGCAAGAAAATTATTTGTAGAATGGGACCAAGCATTTTGCTATTGAAATTATATATATATATATATATATATATATAAAGGTATCATTTCCAAAGAAAGCAAATGAACTTATAAAATTAAAGTCAGGAAAGCAGGATTACATGAGGAAAACAACAATGGGGAGAAGGTCAAGAAAAATTCAGAGAGTACATTACCAAAGAATAAAGCTATTGTGTAGATGAACTGCATTAAATTAACCTCCAATACTAGAGCTCATTCAGAATAGAAAGTAAAAAGTAATCATTTTTAAAGGGTGGAAGTGACCTAAACATGCAGAAATTGCAGACATTACAGTATAAAGTAGGATATTGTGGCTTGTATCTAAAAATGTGAATACAATCCAAGGTTCTGCTAAACACTGAGCTTTGACCCTGTTTGCTTGGCCAGGGTTTGCTCAAGAGGGAGCACAAGGCAATTGTCAGAGGAGGAGGCTCTTGCAGTCTCTAGTTCCTGTCCTTCTGAACATTAAGTCCTGTGTACATTCTAGTCCCCTCATCTCTACACTTCTTTTGACAGAAGGTTTATTTAGAAAATACTTTTATTAGAGCAAATCATCACAACTGGGGAAAAAAGGCCATTTTTTCTCACCGGTCACCAGTAGGTTCAGAAATTAGTTGTTCTTATCACAACATTAACAAGCTTGACAAAATACAGCAATAGATGTTGTTGGATCAGTGGTCAGTGCTACTTCAACCCCAGAGGGCAGTGCAATGGAAACCTTGGGTGGTCACAGATACATTGAGAGCTGAGGAGGAAAGAAAATATAATAAATACTATTATGCATATAATAAATACTATTATGCAAAGGACTGTGAAACATAGTGAAAGTGCTGAATGGCTCTAATAGTTCAGTAATTTCTCCTGCTGAAAATGAAATAACATGGAATACATTTTAGAAAGCAAGTCTTGAATGACAACAAAGAAGGAAATGGTCAAGCTGCAAGATAAGTATGCAGCAAGCAGAAAAACTAATTTAACTGGAATATGAAATAAAAAATCCATTATGGTCTATAAATTAAATCCTAGGTCTAGTAAATGGGATGGTTTGGTTTGTTTGGGATTTTTGTTTGTGTTATGTTTTGTAAACCAACTTCAGAAAGACCAGCATTTGTCTAGTCTATTATTATTTACTCACATAAAAAAAATACAAAAACTCTAATATATGGAAGTGATAGGAACTTTATGTTAAAGTCCAGCTACAAGCATTCTGCTTCCTGAATTGCAATGCTTTAGCCCTGAGTTTCCAAAGGCATGCACAGGGCAAGAATTCACCCAGACAATAGGACTGTTCACTTCAGAATTCCTCTTTCCCTGGAAGTCTCCCAGTTAAAGAATGTTTCTGTTCTCACTTTAAATGCATGGGCAAAAGCCAGTGGCATATACAGAAAGAGAGAAGGGACACAGACTGCTACAGATATGATGACTGATGAAGTTCAGCCCCCAGGCAACTACTTCACACTGGCAGATGTCCTCTCAGGATTGCCCAGGGTACTGTACAAGCTCTTACAATTTCATCTGAAGCCTAGGGTTTGGAAGCACCCAAGTAGTAAAGCATTAGCCCTGGAACGCTAAAACTTCCAGGGGAATAGTATTTGAAGAAGGACAGAGGCATTTTCATCTGGTACCCACTGCTGAGAGCAACCTTTTAGCTTGGTGCTGGGGTCTAAGATCCTGAGAAAGATAGGCCCTTGCACTTACATGATCATCACCTATATCAAACAACTCAAACAAAAAAGAACATCTCTCATGTAAATCTCTTCAGGAAATGAATAGAAAGACCTGAAAAGGTTAAAGGCTACAGCGTTTAGAGCTTTTATTCATACCGAGGAAAGAAAAGGAAACAGTGTTCAAAAGTTTTATTCTTAGGCCGTTTTCAACAATTCCCTTTTAAAAAATCCTACTTTCATGAGAACGCTCTTACCTTATTCAGAAGGCTCACAAATAGTTTCTTTTTCTTTCCCTCTATGTATGCCTGTGTGTGTCTGAGAATAACAGCAAGAGTGTAAATCTTTCACTTGTTCTTTATGTACTCCCTTACAACAAATACCATCTGAAGAGTCAGGGGAGTCAATTTAAGCTCTGTTATGTTTCAGATTTAAACATCCCCTCTCAATTAGATTGTTGCTTCAAGTATTAGAATGATTGTTATAAGATACTCAGCACAGGCCACTCTATATATTTTTAAATATACAAAAAAACCACACACATTTTGTCCATGTATATCACACTTGCATATACATACATATTCCATGTAAATTGATATGAAAACCTGACAAATAGTCCAGACAACTTTTCTACCCCTGAGACATATACCTACCTACACAAGACCATCTTTTATTTAGTTGTATCCTGAGTGTTCTTCAGTGAGTTGCTGCTCTGGAAATAAGTATTTCCACAGAGCCTTAAAACAAACAATGAAACAAAGTAACCCAGATATCTCAAGATGAATGAAAAATATACCTCCAAGAACACCCACAAAAAAGTTGCTTATTTTTATGGATTCTCCTTTTTCTGACAATATTGGCACTTTAGCATCCTTGCTAAGACAAGGGCCTTTTGATCTCTACAACTTGGCGCCACAAGGTTTGCCCTCTGTGTGTTGTGAGAACTTAAAAAGGATTGTTTAAGGAGGGCAGCTTCTGTGTAATTGCACACTAGCCATAGTTAGAATGATTATGGCTTTCCTGGCATCAGAATGATGGGTTATTAGCAGTGTTTTAAGGTTTCTATGCTGGGAGCATTGCAATTCCTCTCTGGAGGGTCAAAAGATTTGAGTCTACAGCAAAGATAAGGGAGAAGTTGGTTCACTTCCGTATTACTTAAATCAAGACTATTTCTTATGGGATTATGTAGCAATGAAATGCTCACTCCCTTCTCTATGCTACACCTTCTTTTGTTGTATTGTCACCATACAGATTCTGAGTCTCCCCTGTACTGAGGACTCAGTGACAGGAACATGTCAGAAATCACAACACAAATGTCATCCAGGAAATAATAATAGTCCTATCATTATGATAAACCCTGCTATATTGAAAAAAAAAGAATTGGCCATTACAGATGTTGGTCTTACTTCTTTTCCTCTTCCTGATATTTCAGACCTTCTATTAAACCTGAATTTTTACTGAAAAAGTAAAAATGAAAGATCTCATTTTCTTCTTACTTGCTTTAAATTTTGGTGATTAGCAAGCTGTCTGCAAAGCAGTATTTCCAGAAACCACATAATAATTTGGACTTTAAAATAATACTTTCATTACTAAGATGAGGCCTGAAATTTTGATTTCCTTTACATACTTTCTCCATAATATCTCAGATAACATACCCATGTGCCTGATACATGACATATTACCCTTGTAGCATACAATTACTGGTATCAATATTCCAAATGCTATTTAGCCAGTCTCCATGCTCAAAGATAAATCATCCAAATTTATGCACAACTTCACTGTGTTAGCTGCTACATACATAGATTATTTCAGTCTGCCATGTTTTCAAAATGAAAAAAGTGTTCAAATTCCTTTGTAGTACTCTAATGAATAAACATTATCCTTCTCATCCCAGACCTGGGTATTCTTCACTAATTAATTTCCATAACATTTGAATTGGAAGGAATCAGAACTCAGGAAAAAAAAGATCAATATCAATTGACTGATGAGTTTTACCTATTCTCTTCAATATAACTCAAAAAGAACTTTTGATCACTACTGAATTTCTAAAGGGAATATGATTTCAATGTTAAGACTAATGAGACTAGTTTAATCTCATCCCTACAAACAAATCAGCTTAAGCCTAATGAAATCTTATTTTTGTACATTAATGTACAAAGGAAACAGTTCAGGGTAAACAGACTTGTAGTATACATTGTTTAGAGACTATTGACTTTCGAATTAGCCTGCTTTTCAAACATTTCACGTCAAAAATATAGTCAAAATGCAAATGCAGCATAAACGGCTCTATAATAAATGCTCATTCAACATTTATTCTTTCTCAAATCATCTTTTAAAGCTCTTTCATGCTAATGTCTAGAAGATGTGACATTAGAAAAATTGCTTTGACATGCTAAGGGGCTCCAAGATTAACAAAAAGAGAAAGAACAAGATAAAGCTTTCAAAAGACCTATTTCAGAGGAATTATTACTTCCTTTGAAAGTCTTCCAAGGTTGCAGTACATTTAAGCTTGTTGGCATACATGTAAATGAAGGACTACAAAAGTATTGCACTAAATACAACTTGAATTAAACCTTCAGGCTAATGTTAGGGAATAAGGATAAAGGCCAGATCCTAGGCTAGTAACAACTCATATAAATTAAAGTTCTTTATTTGAGGATGTGAGGGAGAATTAATTTTTTAAAAAAATCAATACAAGAAATTATAAATGTAATTCCCATGTAAAATGGCAAAGACTGATGAAGCTTCCTGATTGAGCAAGTGGCATTCTAAAGGAGTATGTTAATGTACTATAATGTACAGCCATGCTGCAAAACAGAAACAGTCTCAACCAGCAGCTTACTGTCCTTACTTAAAAATTCCCATCCACCACCAAAAATTCTTGATTCCATAACTAGAAGACAATGGGAATGTAGTTATCATGAAAAACACTATTTTGGCTTGGAAGCATTAAGCTGAGATTTAACTCTCCTGTCTTTGAGATCCAAGGGAATGTTAGTTGCAGTTCCAACTTTCTCTCACAGAGAAAGGTCCATTCAGCTGCAGAGGTTTGTAATGTTTGTAGAGAATAGATCATCAGCCAAATTATGCCACCACTTTCCAGGCAGAAATGCTCAAGAATTTTAGACTCAGGGCAGATGATAGCATTAATTACACAAGAACAGATTTATAAACAAATAAACAAGATGTGAGACTGGGACAAACATTAACAACTATAGTCAAAATTCTGACCATGAGACCTACCCTTCAGCTGCTGTGTAGCTCAATAGACACCAAAATCCAGAGTTAACTTTTCTTTCTTATAAAGTATTCTGGGCTCCGATGTTGGAGCAGAAATCAGAAATCCTAAGTAATTCTCTTCTCTCCCAACTTATAGACTTTTTACCTGACCAATGTGCATCCTCCTTTGTCTTACCACAACTTGAAAATAAACATGTTTGTCTATCCTATAGAAATTAGATTGAATAATTAATAAAATAAATAATACCCCAGAAATATCTGGAAATATGCAAAGTGAGTGCAATTGCAAAGCCCAGTGAGGGCTGCTATTTAAGAACCCTCCAGTTTGTTACCTTCCATTCACTAACCTCATGCTACTTGGCAACACAGTAGCTGGATGACAAATTTCCAATTACTGGTAATGATGGCTTCATGGCTCCTTTTTTCATAATGTTTTGGCTTTTTATAAAGCAAACTTGGTTTACATTTAATGGTGCATGCAATGCACTCCAGAAAGCATCAAAGGCACATTTAATCATTACTTTGCTAGTAATATTCTTAACCTGTTACACAAAGCCATACCTATTCCTGCCAGTAGATTATGTCCTTGTCTCTCACTGCCTTCCAGCATCACAGATTTTCAGTGCTGGCTGTACCTGTCAGCCCCTGAAGAGATCCACTTGCTCGAGTGATGACATTGTGTGCTTCTGCCCTCCTTGCCTTGCATTCTCTCTCATGCCCGTGTTTCATTCTCCTTCATGAGAGGCATTGTTTCCCAGAGTAATAAAAAATACATTACTTGAAAGCAGACCAGGATGGACTAAAAAAAAATGTTCTTACTTGTCTGGCCTGTCTGGTCCTCTGTG